CACACACACACACATACACACACACACACACACACACACACACACACAAATATAGCATTCCACAGATGTTAAATATTTAATTTTCTTTTAATTATAATACTGTTTTAGTAGATGTAAATGTAAAATATATAAAATCTAAATAATAAATACTATAATAGATTTAAATAACAGAATTTTATGGCTGCTAATGCATATTTGTTTATCTTATTGTCAATATTTCTAAAGAAAGACACAAAACCAAACAAATTATAATGACCTTTTATTTATTATAAATCTCTGAAATAATAAAATACAGTTTTCTCTCTCCACTGAGGTACTGACATCTGGTATATTACAGTACACAAAATGAAGAGTCCAATACTTTTACACATGCTGTGTAAAATCCTTAGAGAGTCCAATTTAATAATCAAAAAAATGTTTTTTCAAGCAATTGTGTGTATATATTTTCAAAATTCTCTGAACCTCATAAACTATACTGGGGTTTTTAAGCTGGATACATGTATAAAGCACAACATTTCAGTGTTACAGCAGAAAATATGATAATAGAGCATAATTCATTATTATTATTAATTAATTAATTAATTAATTATTATAGATATTTGGTTATTGGTCTATATCCTGGAGTTGTAATATTAAACATTGCATATGCATTGCATCTGATTTCAAAATACATTTTTACAGTTCATCAAGAAATATTGTTTCATGCAAACTAATTGCACAATAAAGCTTTAACAGAATATGTCTGTTGTCTTTCCAGGAAAACCTCCTTGTAGGTCCTCACATGCTTCTTTCAGATGGTCAGTACCGGAAGTAAAGAACTGGCCCACAGTCTCAGATCTGGTCAATATCATCTTGTTTTATGTTCTTTATTCTTTCCCACTGCATTTATTCAAACAAAAATCTAAAATCTGTTCTGTTCTGGTTTGTTCTTCATCAGGTGAATCCAAACAGTGGCATCTGACATGAGTTTCCTGTAGATTTAACTGGTTGGAGGAGCATCCAATAACCTGATCTGACATCAGTGAACTTCTTCTGGAGAGATGTAAGCATGCCTGTGGAAATGTTGCATCATTAGTATCATTCTAATGTAATTTATCAATTGCATATATTTAATGTTTGCACATACTTAATGATTCCATTTATAGAGCAGGTACTAGTCAAGTAAAATGTATTTGTATAGTGCTTTTCACAATACACATTATGCAAAGCAGCTTTACAGAAAATCATGATGTTCGTGTTTATAATATCTTAAAGGGGTCATATGATGCGATTTAAATTTTTCCTTTCTCTTTGGAGTGTAACAAGCTCTTGGTGCATAAAGAAGATCTGTAAAGTTGCAAAGACTAAAGTCTCAAATCCAAATCCCCATTTTCTACATCGCCCTACTTTTGCTAAGAAGCACGTTCAACGCGGACGCACAGACGGTTGTCGTGGTAATGAACACCACAGCAACCACTTGTGCGTCTGCACTGAATGCGCATCTCGCATATAAAAAGCATTTTAGGGGGCCCATGGATTTTGGGGGCCCAAGGCGGTCGCCTACCTTTGCCTAATGGTTAAGTCCGCCTCTGATCATATGACCCCTTTAATATCTTCATGCCTTATGGTTGCATTTAGCAGATTGGAGCTGGGCGACAATATAGTTACATTTTGCAATGATACAAGCAATCAAACAGTTGAGATTTGCTATATAGTAGCCTACATGAATGTACTACATGATTAAGTTGGACATACTTGTATATACAGCTTTATCATTTGGAGCTGTATTAATATAGTGTCTAGTGAATCACTGTTTGTAACTCACCTCAATCACAGCTAAACTTCTGTTGATGCCTTGGAACGAATCGGCTCTTGAAACTGACACTGCGGTAGACACAGAAAAACGTAATTAACATTCAGTCTGAACTAATTATTTTCCTTATGGAATATCAGTATTAAGCTATGTCTCAAACCCTAGTTTTTGCTCATTTTAAGTGTCAAAATAAACACTTAAAAGTGTATTTTGGAATTTTTCTTTCCA